CACTGAAAAGTGTCATAACTTCCTTGTATACCTAAAAACTTCCCTTATCAGCAGAAAGTTTAGTTTAGAAATGAAAGAAGACTTATATTTTTCTGGGTTAAAACGAACATCGGCGAACTGAACATAACACATCGGCGAACAGTCCCGACTAKTCGGCGAAAGTGGGTTCGGCGAACAGTCTCATCGGCGAAAGTGGGTACATTCTTAGCGAGGAGTTCACGAGGAGCTTGTTATACCTATATATATTGAAGCGGACTTTCAAAAAAAAAATACTCATAACTCGAGAACGTCGTTGTACCAACCTATCATAGACAACTATGGACARGTTTTTGGCCTCGTGTGATACAACAGATCCAACAACAAGTGATGAAGCAGACTTATGGCTACAAGGTCTTGATTTTAGTGAATTCATTAMAATTTATAACGCATCTGATGAAAAAGTTCCAGAAGTACTGGATTTCTTCTTACAAGGTAAAGGCTTGGAGTACGACACCCTTCTTCCCCAGCCTAAAGCACCATGTTTTATGGACGCGTCTGATGAGACAGGTCCAGAAGCGCAGTATTCCTACTCACAAAATGAACCAAATCATCCAACAGTTGGTTTGGAACAAGAGRAATCAAATGCCCCATCAAACCCGGGAAGATTCCATTGCAATATATGTGGAAAGTCATTCACTAGATCTGACAACATGAAGCGCCATCATGATAATAGTCATACGGCACTGTTCAAGACCTTTCAATGCTCTTATTGTTCAGARAATTTCAAGCTTAAATTCAACAAGAAAAGGCACGAACGTGAAGTCCATGAAAAACAGCTTAAATGTAAAAAATGTGGTAAGGAGTTTGACTGCGACAGAGCTTCTTACATCGGACATGTACGTGGTTCCCACAAGAACCGAGTAACAAGTACACAATAAGGTAAACGATTTCCTGGGTAAATATGAATGTACTTCTTGAGAAGAGGACAGAACTCTCACGTGTCACCCTGCTGTACAAAATCATCAACAACCATGTTGCAGTAAATGCTAAAGAGCTCCTGGCAAAGCCGGACCGAGTTAGCCGTCATACGAAAGCCCATACCCTAAAAACTATTATGTACAAAAATAAATCTGAAAACCTATCCTTTTTTCCAAGAACTGTAAAATTTTGGAACTCACTGCCTGAAAATGCTTTTTCGCCGGCCTCCAGCATTGAAGTTTTTAAAAAAAAGATCACAGAGTACATGTAATTTCCTGACCTCCCGGCCAATAATCCTCTGTTGAGGGGCGGCCGTATTGGAAAATAATAATAATAATAATACTCCAGATCTGTAGCGTTCGCGTAAAAAAAGTACTCCTCCTGAAGAATCCCGGTAAACCCCATCAGGTATACCATCGCCTCCATTTTTGTTAACAATTGTTGTGAAATAATCCCCCTTGCATCCACATTTTCATTATCGTTTACTATATTATCAAACGACCTTCGAGTTGTGTGGCCATTGGATGAATTGTTTTGTTTATTTTCTGGATACATAATTGTAACGTGAAGCCAACGTGAGTTAGCGAGGAGGTAGTT